TGTGCGCGTGGGAGGCAGAGAGACAGTGTGTGTGAGGGGGAGAGAGATTGTGTGCATGAGGGGGAGAGACAGAGTGTGTGAGTGGGAGACAGAGAGTGTGTGTGTGAGGGTAGAGAGATACAGAGACTGTGTGAGGGGGAGAGAGAGACAGTGTGTGAGGGGGAGAGAGAGAGTGTGTGAGGGAGAAAAAGAGTGTGTGGGGGTGGGAGAGAGTGTGTGAGAGAGAGAGAGTTTGTGAGGGTGAGAGAGAGAGAGTGTGTGTGAGGCGGAGAGAGAGAAAGAGTATGTGAGGGGGAGAGATAGAGAGTGTGTGTGTAAGAGCGAGAGAGAGAGTGTGAGGGGGAGAGAGAGTGTGTGAGGGGGAGAGAGAGAGTGTGACTGTGTGTGTGAGGGGGAGAGAGAGAGTGTGTGTGAGGGGGAGAGAGAAAGAGAGTGTGTGTGGGAGGGGAGAGAGAGAGTGTGTGAGGGGGAGAGAGAGAGAGAGTGTGAGAGTGTATGAGGGGGAGAGAGACAGTGTGTGAGAGGGGGAAAGAGAGAGAGTGTGAGGGGGAGAGAGAGAGTTTTTGTGTGAGGGGGAGAGAGAGAGTGTGAGGGCAAGTGAGACAGACTGTATGTGAGAGGGAGAGAGAGAGTGTGTGTGTGAGGGGGAGAGATAGAGAGTGTGTGCATGAGGGTGAGAGAGAGAGAGTGTGAGGGGAAGAGAGAGAGAGTGTGTGCATGAGCGGGAGAGAGAGAGAGTGTGTGAGGGAGAGAGATAGAGAACGTGTGTGTGAGGAGGTAGAGACAGAGAGTGTGTGTGTGAGAGGGGGAGAGATAGAGAGTGTGTACATGAGCGGGAGGGAGAGAAAGTGTGTGCGTGAGGGGGAGAGAGAGAGGGTGGGTGAGGGGGTGTGTGTGTGAGGGTGGAGAGAGAGAGTGTGTGAGGGTGGAGAGAGAGAGAGAGTGTGTGTGTGAGGAGGTAGAGATAGAGTGTGTGTGTGACGCGGAGAGAGAGAGTGTGTGCGTGAGGGGGAGAAAGAGAGTGTGTGAGGGGGAGAAAGAGAGTGTGTGAGGGGGAGAGAGAGAGGGTGTGTGAGGGACTGAGAGATCATAGATCATAGAATCCCTACAGTGTGGAAACAGGCCCTTTGGCCCCACGAGTCCACACCGACCCTCAGAGCATCCCACCCAGACCCTTCCCCCTATAACCCACCTAATCTACACATCCCTGAACACTACGGGCAATTTAGCATGGTCAATCCACCTAGCCGGCACATCTTTGGACTGTGGGAGGAAACCGGAGTACCCGGAGGAAACCCACACAGACACGGGGAGAATGTGCAGACTCCACACAGACAGTCGCCCGAGGCTGGAATCGAACCCGGCTCCCTGGCGCTGTGAGGCAGTAGTGCTAATCACTGAGCCACCGTGCCGCCCCTCCTGAGCCACCGTGCGCCCCGTGTGTGAGGGTGGAGAGAGAGAGAGTGTGTGAGGGGGAGAGAGAGAGAGAGTGTGTGAGGGGAAGAGAGAGAGAGAGTGTGTGAGGGGGGGAGAGAGAGTG